CAGTAGTTCATACAGGAAGTCATGAAGGCATGAGTAATAGGGAGCAGAGCTTCCCAGTTCTGGAATGGGTGGAACTGGCACACAGCCCAAAGATATAGATTTAATTTAATTTCACGGAATATTTACTTCCCAGTCTTATACATTAATACATTACAATACATTACATTACATACATACAATACATTAATTAAATATAATTAATTTAGATTTCAGGTTTAGAGTAAATTTAGAGATTTTGCATATCTTTGCTGACTTCTTTGTGTCAGTTAGATTTTGCAGCCCAGATGTTGAAGCCCTACAATAAATTAAGATACCTAAACATATATAATGAAGAAACCCCCTGAAAGATTATTTCAAGAGCCTTGGTAGTACAGAGGTTTAAGGCACCCTGTTATTAAGCTGGTTATTAAGACCAGCTGTCTGCAATTACTGCAGGGTTCGAATCTCGCCAAGGCTCAAGGTGGACTCAGCCTTCCATCCTTTCTAAGGTAGGTGAAATGAGGACCCAGTTTGTGGGGGCAATAAGCTGACTTTATATAAATATACAAAAGGATGAAGGCTATTGCTGAGCACATTGTAAGCCGCCCTGAGTCTTCGGAGAAGGGCGGCATATAAATCAAATTAAAAAAAAAAAGGTTCAAAAGAAAATGGCATAACCAATTGCAAAGGTATAGATGTGAGTCTACCATTAAGTAGAATTATAATGTTGCTCATACAGGATCTTCTTTTAGTTTAAAAATACTGAACAATATAGAATCTGACTACATTTTCTTCATTAAAAGATTGTATGTGCTCCATTTTAAATATATGACTGCCTCTCCATTTGATAAGTTGGAAAGCAACTATCATTGCTATATTAAAAAATGTCAATATTTTGGATTCTTTGGTTTCAGAATATTTGAGAACCTAAGAAAGTTGTGAATCAGAGCCTCAAACATCAACCAAGCCAAAAATATGATAACAATTTATAATGTAATGGGGCAAATGCTCCTCAAAATAGACAAGATAATATTTTACTATTTGAAAATGCCAAAACAAGATATGATTTGTCTATAAGAAACACAGAATATAAGGAAGAAGATATAAAATATGTAAGTCACAAAATTAAAATATTTAAATCACAAAAATCTGGGATAGAAATATTTCAGCAGGATTGAGGGGAAAAAATCCTTTCTGGACAAGGAGAGGATTTGAGATCACCAACAAGCGCTCTAGACAGCTGTGGAGTCCTTGGTGCTCTCTGAGCTTGGCGGTTTTCTTGAGATGTTTCATTACCAAACTAGATAATGTCACTGCTAGGAGAGAGTGAGATTTGCTCATATGTTTATAAACCAGCAGTTTGCCTATCAGCTTTGGTGGGAATGTTCTTGTTGGTTCCTTGATTAGGCTGTTGTTTACTTTTAGTTTGTTTGTCTGTGTTGTTAATTCCTTGAATGGTTATTGTTTACTTCTTGATTGTTTGTCTAGTGTTAATCTTGGTGTTAATCTCTGCTCATATTGTGTTGATTGCTGGTGAGGAGATATTGTGGTCTTTTTGTTTCCTTTTGGGCTTTTTGTCTCTTTTGAGTGGCATGTAGATATTGTTTATCTCTATATGCCTGTTAATTGCTGATTTTGTCAGAGTACCATGCCTGCAGGAATTCTCTGAGGTTTTTGGACTTGGCTTGATCTAGGATGCTTACAGTTTTCCAGTTGAAACTATGATTGAGTCTATCCTTGTGTTGTGAAATTAAGGAGTTTTTATCATGTTTTCTGACTGTTAGTTGGTGTTCATGGATGCACTCTGCTAGCCTTCTGTTACAGTCCTTATTCTGTATGTGAAGGTGACTCCTGTTTTTTTCTTCTGGGGCTGCTGGGTCATTTAGGGTGCTTTAGAGGGCTTTAGTTGGTTTGTGTTCTACAGTGGTGCCATGTAGTTGTAATGGTCTGTTGGTGGTTTCTGAGATGTTTTTGATGTAATGCAAGTGTTATTCTTTTCACAGCTTTTGTTGGTTGTGCTATGGTAGGTTGAGTGGTCAGGTGCTTTTTGATAATCATTTTGTTGGAAGTTATTGTATAGATGCTTGGTTCCTTTTTCCCGATGTTCATGGTTGCTGAATGTATTTGTAGTCATCTAAATAGAGTTCTTACACAGTTTTTCTTTTGGAAGGTTGGGTTGTTACTTTGCTAATGGAGCACTTGGTTGGTGTGGGTAGATTTACGGTAGAATTGTGTTTCTAATTTACCATCACTGTCTCTGCTGCTGATGATATCAAAGAAAGAAAGTGGATTATTATTATTATTATTATTATTATTATTATTATTATTATTTATTTATTTATTTATTTATTTTGTATACCGCCCTTCTCCTGAAGGACTCAGGGCGGTGAACAGCCAGCAGATAAAATACAGAAAATACAAAAATTAAAACAATATTAAAAACCAATTAAATTAATTTGGCCCACAGTTAAAATGCCCCCATATTAAAAACCCATAATTTAGCAATTTAAAATTAAAACAATTTAAAAATATAGTCAGGTCAGCCCAGCTTGATGAAACAAAAACGTCTTTAAGGCACAGCGGAAAGTGCGCAGATCCAGGATGCGCCGTATCTCCGGGCGCAACTCGTTCCAGAGGGTCGGTGCCCCCACAGAGAAGGCTCTCCTCCTGGGGCCGCCAGCCGACATTGTTTGGCTGACAGAATCCTGAGGAGCCCCTCTCTGTGGGAGCGTACTGGTCGCTGGGAGGCTACTGATGGCAGAAGGCAGTCTCGTAATACCCGGGCCCTAAGCCATGGAGCGCTCTAAAGGTGGTAATCAATACCTTGAAGCGCACCCAGAAGACCACTGGGAGCCAGTGCAGCTCATGCAGGAGAGGTGTTACATCGGAGCGTCGATCGCCTCCGTCACTACCCACGTGGCCGCATTCTGGACCAGTTGGAGCCTCTGGGTGTTCCTCAAGGGGAGCCCCATGTAGAGAGCATTACAATAGTCCAAGTGGGATGTGACGAGGGCATGAGTGACCGTGCATAAGGCATCCCGATCCAGAAAGGGACGCAACTGGTGGATCAGGCGAACCTGATAAAAAGCCCCCCTGGCCACAGCCGTCATATGCTCTTCCAAAGACAGCCGTGTATCCAGGAGGACACCCAAGTTGTGACCCCTCTCTGTGGGGGCCAATGACTTGCCCCAAAAGTCAGCGATGGTACCAACTGACTATATTGGGATGCTGGAAGCCAAAGCCACTTGGTCTTGGATGGATTGAGCCTGAGCCTGTTTCTCCCCATCCAGATCCGCACGGCCTCCAGGCACCGGAACATCACATCAAGGGCATCGTTGGGGTAGTCTAGGGTGGAGATGTACAGCTGAGTATCATCAGCGTACAGATGACACTTCACCCCGAAACCACGGATGACCTCACCCAGCGGCTTCGCATAAATGTTGAACAGAAGGGGCGAGAGAACCGACCCTTGCGGCACCCCACACACAAGGTGCCTCGTGGTCGATCTCTGCCCCGCTGTCAACACGAATTGCAACTTGTTGGAGAGGAAGGAGGAGAACCACTGCAACACAGTGCCCCCTATCCCCAACCCTCCAGTCGGCACAGCATGATACCATGGTTGATGGTATCAAAAGCCGAGAGATCTAATAGGACCAGGACAGAGGAACAACCCCTGTTCCGAGCCCTCCAGACATCATCCACCAATATGACCAATGCCATTTCCGTGCTGTGCCCAGGCCTGAAACCCGACTGGAATGGATCTAGATAAACCGTTTCCTCCAGGAACGGGAAACTGTCGCACCACCACACTTCGCCACAAAGCGAAGATTGGAGACAGGACAATAATTTGCTAATACAGCTGGGTCCAGGGAAAGCTTCTTCAGGAGGGGCCTCACCACCGCCTCCTTCAAGGAGGCGGGGAAGTTACCCTCACTCAGAGAAGCATTGATAATCCCCTGGAGCCAGCCTCATGTAACCTCCCGGGAGGCCAGTACCAACCAGGAGGGACACGGGTCCAGTAAATATGTGGCCGTGCTAAGCCTGCCCAGAATCCTGTCCACGTCCTCAGGAGCCACAGGGTCAAACTCCTCCCAAATAACATTCTCAGGGCCTTCCTCCATCACCCCGCCTGAAACTACCCAGTCAGAGTCCAATCCTTCTCAAATCTGAGCGATTTTGTCATACAGATATTGCACAAAGTCCTCAGCTCTTCCGTATAAGGGATCATCCCTCGCTCCCTGATGGAGTAGGGAGCAGGTCACCCTAAACAGGGTGGCTGGGCAATTATCTGATGACGCGATAAGAGCAGAGAAATACTCAGATTTTGCCACTTTTATCGCCACTAGGTAGGTCTTAATATGAGACCTCACCAGTGTCCAGTCGGATTCGGATCAGCTGGCCCTCCAACTGCTCTCTAGGCATCTTCTCTGGTGCTTCATTTCCCTGAGCTCCTCGGAAAACCAGGGAGCCACACAGGATCAGCACCGGGTCAGAGGCCGCAAAGGCACGACGCGATCCAAGGCTCCGGCGGCCGCCCTATCCCAGGCGGCTACCAGGTCCTTGGTCGAATCGTGAGCCAGAACCTCAGGAAATGGCCCAAGCGCCCTCTGGAATCCATCCGGATCCATCAGACGCCTGGGGCGGAACCACCTGACCGGTTCCGTCTCCCTGCTGAGGGAGGCAGTGGTACAGAAATCCAGTCGGAGGAGCGAATGATCAGACCATGACAACAAGACTGTTGTTTTCTTCTTTCCTCATGAATTTTATTCCTTTGAAGATGTTGTTGATAGTTTTCTGTGCTTTCTATAATTGGTCCTTTTTATTATGACAAAGGTTTCATCTATGTACCAGACCTATACTTTGGGTTGTAAATGTGGGAGTACTTCAGATTCCAGTTGCATTACAGTCTCAGCTATGAGTCCTGAAAGGGGTAATCCCATGGGTGTTCCTTTGATTTGTTGATATATTTGTCTATTAAACTGAAAGTATGAGGTGAGGCACAGGTTGATAAGATCCATGATTCTGGGTATTTCAATTTTGATGTATTTGGTTATTCTGTGTAGTAGTAGTGCTTTCATCATTCTTTTGCTAGTTCTGGATCTAAGAGTGCTGTGACATCAAATGAGACCATGATTTCATCTCTATCTATAGTCAGCTCTTTGATTCTTTGGAGGCACTGTAGTGAATGTTCAGGGAATATTCATGTCTCTCTGTGAGATATCTAAGCTTATTTGTCAGGGTGTTTTTTTAGCATTGTTGTAGTTTGGAGGGAATAAGCATCTTGCTGAAATACCTTTGGTCATCCTTTGAATCAACAATACAGTATAAGGTGAGTTTCCTTCAGTCCTTATCAAAATAAATTTTAGCTACAAATTTTGGAACTTAATTATTATTGTATAATAATATACAATATTATTAATTGTTATTGTAGGAGTAAACAGCAAAAGGATGATTAAAACTGATTATAGAAACTATAAACAGACTAAGGGTCCAGGTAAATTTGAAATAAGATGTTTAAATTAATTATAAATAATCCTTCCCATGAGAAAATGCTTTTAATCTTTTTTAAAAACTAAGGTTTCAAAAATTGGACATTAGAGGAAACTAGAGGGAGCTAAAAATTACAATTAAAATAGAAAACACTTAAACTCAGCTTACAAGTACAGAATGAAGCATTTTTTAAAACATTGCATATATTGAAGGATATTTGAACAATGAACCCAGAAACTAATTTAATAGTGTGTGACTCTATAGATTTATTTATTAAATAAATATATTTATGATATATAGTTGAGCCATTATATATTAAATATATAGCTGCCTTCCTCACATATAGGTGACATAGTTATACTGTGACTAAAAGATATGGAAAAGAACAAGTTCCACCTGGCAAAACTGGAACTGACATAGAAAAAGATGCTACACTGGAGAGACAATAGAAATAATTAAAAGGGATTTACAAACAACAAACTAAGAGAATGACCTGGACAATCTTCTATATTATATTTACAAAATAATCTTATTAAAGTTTGAAGACTTTTGTGAAAAGAGACAGACAATAAAGGAAAATAAATCAAGTTCTACAACCTTATTTTAAGGGAGTATAAAATCATGATTGTTGGAAGTAAAAAGCAGGAATATAACTGGTTTATTTGAACAAGGTTAAAATAGGTTTGTTATCTCTAGCAACCATTAATAGACTTTCCCCAACATCAGAATTGAAATGATGATGCCTTGTAGTTTATAGTTAAGAGATGGGATGTGGGTAGAAGAGATTATTTGTTGTATTTTAAGAGAAGGTGATTAATTATTAAAATCGTTTGTACTTGTGATAAAGGTGGAAAGTCATGTATTTACTACATTTTCTTTTTATATATTTTTTCTTCTTTCTTTCTTTTATTCTATTCTTTCTTTATATTTATTTGTATTATTTTTTCTAATTTTAATCTTTAATAAAGTTATACTGTTATACTGTTGAATCCATGTATAGGAAGGACTCATCTCATTGAATGCACAAGAGGGGGGAAAGTAAATTTTGGTTTCTTACTGAATAAAGAAAAGCTTCTGGAACTGTTTTTACTATTATCAGTCTAAAGCTGAAACAGGTTTTCCCTGACAAGGAAGTCCTATGGGGTGTACAAGGAGCTCATTAACTAACCATCCATTTATTTGTATGCATATTCATATACTGGTGAGGCAATATTTATGTAACTGGAGTTTAGGTTTGTAAATACATTGTAATTAATTAGGTATGGTAAAAGTTCTGAACTATTACATTATCCAGAAAGCTGCTCAGAAAACTCAGGAGCAATTACAAAATTTTTGTACCACTGTTTTCTAATGTATCAACAAGAAAGGGAAATGGAGAATGTTTTCCCTACTTCATCCCCAAAGTAAAGCACTCTCTAAGCCGATTAACTCTTTTGGACTTTGGAATCTGGTATTAGTTCATGAAAGCTACCTGAGAAACATGTTCTTTGCTCTTGTAGCTAGACTGAACATCAAACAAATACTAGAATGATAAAAGTAGTACAAGTAGTAGAAGACTTATATAGATTCAATCTGATAATATTTTGAATAACTTTCTCTCTCTCTCTCTATCTCTATCTATCTATCTATCTATCTATCTATCTATCGATCTATCATCTATCTATCTATCTGTCTATCTATCTGTCTCTATCTATTTGAGACATCTTATTGGTTACACTTTATAAGTATTTTATAAGTGCAACAATGTTTTGAATAAATAAAATAATACCCTTTCATATGTCTAATTTAATTTCAGCTAACCTTTAGTTCTGAGTACCTGCTTCTCTTTTTTTCCACATTGCTAATTAAATTTTATGAGAGCCACTTTGGCCTACTAGCTAATTTATTAAGCTAGGAATTGGGAGACCATTAGTTCTAGCTGCTGATATTAGAAGATAAGTTTCAAAATGAGTGGAAACAAGCAATTTATAACAAGTTCCCCCTCTTAGGACTTACCTCCTCACTTATCTATTATCTCTGAGCTATGTAGCGACAAACTCAAACAATGTCTGTATGACATAGATTGACAAACAGATGTGGGAAATACTACTTAGCTTCCCATGATGGACAATCAGAGATACATTGTGGCACCAGCCATGTACCTCACATATCTTAATATTCCCAATCAGAGAAGAGCCTTCACCTTAGCCCAATGTTATGCACTATCTACAACATTCCTAGCTGGAAGATACAGAAGGATACTATACCCTTTATGAGCATGCCCTTCTGACTCAGAAAAGTTGCTGTTGTTGTTGCTGCTGTATCCTTACTTATATTTATATTGATTGTTTCCTAATATTATTTGATTGCTTATTGTACCCTACTACTATCATTAAGTGTTGTACCTTATGATTCTTAACGAATGTATCTTTTCTTTTTATGTACACTGAGAGCACGAAAGACAAATTCCTTGTGTGTCCAATCATACTTAGCCAATAAAGAAGTCCTATTCCTATTCTATTCTATTCTATTCTATTCTATTCTATTCTATTCTATTCTATTCTATTCTATTCTATTCTATTCCCGTCCCGTCCCGTCCCGTCTCATCCCATTCCATTCCATTCTATTATAACAAGTAGAAACTATTAAACATATTCTTTTCTATTGAAGCTTTCAAGAAGAGACTGGACTGCCATCTGTCAGAAATGGTGTAGGGTCTACTGCTTGACCTGATTAGTAAAATAGGATATAATGACTAGCAACACACACTATTTTTATTTTGTGATATTAATCCTGAAATAACATATGTTTGCCAGGTTCTTTGTGTGACATACAAAATTAGACAAAGAATAACCAAGAGCAATTGAATGTGTTTGAGTAGGGAATGGCTTTGCCTTAACATAATCCACTGGTTATTTTTTTATGTCTGCTACTGTATTGTGCCTTCCTCAGATGTGTCGTGGCTCTATAATTCTATAGTTTAGGTTAGTTTTAACTAATAAGAATGAAGCTTTTAAGCATATTTTTCTATGTATCAACTCCTTATTTATTTTTGGATGCTCTGGATATCTGAAAACTATTCTTCTTCTTCTTTTTTTTCTTTTTTTTTGCTGGTTAATGACTACAGTAAAGTTATTTGATTTGAAATTTGGGTACCATTTTTCTTCCAGATGATGTATTTTCCTCTTTTGATGGTTGGTGATTCATAAATGACCAGCCTATATCTTATAGCAACAATAATCTTGATGGGGTAGTAACTCCTAGGAAGGAGAAATGATTCAATTCTCCCTGTCATACCCTATAGCTATGCTTAATTTTTAAAAGTTTGAATATTCAATGCATCTGTGTCTGTAAGGAGCCATAAAAGTATCAAACTAGTGACATATTCATCATGGCAACATTTTGCAAAGGAACTAATTCATCATGATAGCTGACAAAAATGACATAAATTATGATTTATACATTATCTGCTCTCACACTGCTCGCCACTGATGCCTGAGTTTTAAGGTGCTAGTTAATCATGTTCATGTAATACCACATCAAGTTGCATCCTTAAAAATTCTCATATGACTATAGACGTACTGTACATATTAATATATTGAAGATCAGCCATGAAGGACAGAATCTCATAAACAGCTCACTATTGCAATTCTCTTTTATTCTATGTCATGATTTTTTTCAAATATTTGGATTTGACAAAACTGTCAAATGTAAAAAATGTAAAACTGTCAAATTGTTGTAATGTAAAAAATTTATTCATATGTGAATCCCTTTTGTAACCTATTTATGCAAAAGGAATTTTTCATTCATTCATGGTGGAAATTGGGTATCATGAATAATCATGATGGAAATTGGGTATCTTGAATAATCTACATTTCATAAGGGCTTCCCTATATTTTTATAAAGCCAGATACTCTAGAGCAGGGATGTCAAACTTGATTTCATTGTGGGCCACATCAGGGATGTGTTTGACCTCAGGGGGCCAGGGTGAGCATGGCCAGGGTGGGCGTGGCCAGCTCAACATCACTTGTGTTGGGGCGCCTGTCGTGGCCTGAGAACTCTGCCAGCAAAAATGGGCTCCCAAGCTCCATTTTTGGCTGCAACCGCCTCCTGCAACCCTCTGCCAGTGAAAACAGAACTCGGGAGGGCTGTCCACAGCCCTCGTGAGCTCCATTTTTGCTGGCAGAGACACTGCAGGCCAGTCCTTCACTTTTCCAGGGTGGCCCCATGGGCCAGATCTAAGCACCCCATGGGCCGGATCTGGTCCCTGGGCCTTGAGTTTGACACCCCTGCTCTAAAGAGATAAGTGGGTTGACACTATTTGCCATTTTGCATACAACACTTAAAGAATTTTAAGCAAGGCATGGCATATCCTGCCATTATATATTCAAGCTATCCTGGGTCATGCTATTTCTGTCACACCAGTTATACAATAAAAGGGAAGTGTATTTTTTATTGACAGGTTATTTTCAATAAGCCAAGAGCTTAGAAATAGAATTCACTGTCTTCTATGTAGTATTCCAGTGTCAATGTAAATATTTTCTGCATGTTAAATTTTCCGATGATTTCTGGGGATGCATGTAAAATTTTAGATCCAGTTCTGACAACCCATGACCTGTTGGATCATTATTTCAGAGATATTTTCTTACCTAAACAGAGAAATAGAATAACTATGTCCAGGCAAAAAAAGTCAGTGGAAGCAGGAATGATTTCCAGGTTCCTGTGAGCTTCTTTGTGGGAAACTGCTAGGAGACATTGGAAATCTTCCCTTCCTTCCCCTTCCCTTTTTTTCTTGCCACATTGAGTTTAGATTTCCTGCTGTCTTTCCCATTGTTTAATTTAAAAAAATAATTGACACAGAATGGAATGTTTTGAAGAAATTATGTAAAGAAATTATGTCAGGACTCTGCTTGTTGGTCTGTCCATTTGGAGGATAATTTTTTGAAAATGAAATATGACAGGATAAAATTTGGAGATAGACGCCTTTAAAAATGATCAGGATCTAGCCAAAATCTGCAGAAGACAAAAATCCAGGGGGGTGGGATGTTAATCTCTATCAGGAAAACATTTACATAGTGGCTCAGATTATTGCCAGCCCCTCTATTCTAAACTTCTCTCCTCTTTCTTTCCTGATCAGAGAACTTTATTTTCATAGGATGGGGGATCAGAGGTGGGATTCAGCAGATTCTGACTAGTTCTAGAGAACTGGTAGTGGAAATTTTGAGTAGTTCAGAGAACTGGTAAATACCATTTCTGACTGGCCTTGCTCCCATCTATTCTCTGCCTCCCGAGTCCCAGCTGATCGGGAGGAAATAGGAATTTTGCAGTATCCTTCCCCTGGAGTGGGGAGGAAATGGAGATTTTACAGTAACCTTCCTCTGGACTGGGGTGGGAATGGAGATTTTACAGTATCCTTCCCCTGCCACACCCACCAAGCCATGCCCACAGAACCAGTGGTAAAAAAATTTGAATCCCACCACTGTGGTGGATGTTTCAGAATTGAGGGACATGTATGCAACATTTACACATTCTCATTTTAATTTTTAAAAGCAGTCAAATCCTTTTATTACATGAAAATGTTTTCTTGTAGTTATGACAGTGTTAACATTTAAGTGTGAGCTTAAAATGTTAAACAGCACATAGATGGATGGATAAATTGCTTTGGCACAAAAACTTTGTCAAGCGTGAAATCATGATGGTGGGGAAGAGAAGAACTGTTATTTGAATTGTTCATGACTGAAATATTATGACAGGACTATATAAAAGCAAACCTAAAACACTATTAAATTCAATGGCACAATTATCAGGCTGCATGGCTGATTCTCTTGAAAAGTAACAAATAATGAAACTTCAGTGGGAGTCACTTGGAGTAAAATCCATGAAGATAATGATAGCAGGAAATATTCAAACCCAAATCATGCAAACCGCCAGCCCAGCCCACACAAAAAAACCTCTTAATTATCATTCATGGAACAGAATTTGCAGCTGTGCATCAATCAATCTCACTTCCCTAAACACTCACCTTATCTCTTCTCTTATCAGAACAGTGCCCAGCAAAGTAGAGGAAGGATAGCAAAGTATTGAAGGAGAATATTCTGCATGGAAGACTTCACAGCATTAAGAAATGTTAGAATGGTAAGTGGCTAATGATACATACAATAGGGATGGGAGGGCAGGATGGACAATTGACTGTTAAGAGGATAGAAATGCAACTGCTAAGATGCTACTGTTCGGCATGGGGATTGGGAGGAAAGAAACATTGGGCATAAAGACTTTTATCATGTACCAGTATTTCCAAAGGAAATGCAAGAAACCATGTATCTTTAATAGGAAAAAGGAATGTTGGAAATCGTCCAGAGGGTTAGAGAGCATGTCCCTACATATACCTAGGAGCAGATGAAGTTGCTTTTCTCTCATATGCAACTCTTTAAAAACTCAGATTCTTCCCATCTTCCTATATAATTGTTAAAGATGAGAAACAGTCAGGAAAAGGTAAAAGACATAATTCAGATGGTTATGAATCCATAATCAATTGAATCCAGTTTTTAAATGTAAACATTCAGAGAGTTGTGCCTGGTTGGTTTCTATCATCTGTGCAGTTCTGAGAGGTCTACCCTCTTTGTGAAGAAAACTGCAAATGCTATTATGTTTTAATTAAAAATGAACTACTGGTAAATGAAATTCTCATTGATCCATACTTATAGCTTCCATCTGGATCAAATGTTATTTTTTTAAAATTCCCATTTCCTTCCCATTTTATTTCTCTTTACGTCTAGTCAGGTTCAGTTTTGAAATGCGCTTCAATAATTTTCAAAGTTGTAAATTGCAATTGCTTATTTGATGCTATCTGCCACTGTGATAGATTGGTTGAGTTTTACAAGCTCAAATCCTTTTGCAACACAAAGGAAATTAAGATTTTTTTTAAAAAATAGGATAAATGCATTCCGAACATCTTTTTCATGCAGTGGAAAGGAAATGAACAAAAGCAGGATCCTATATAGGATCCTGCTATATACAGAATAGGAAGTGAAAAAAATAATCAATACCTTTGAATGGCACAAGTTTTGTTTTTGTTTTTGTTGTTGTTTTGTTGTTGTGTTATGTTGTGTTGTGTTTTGTTTTGTTTTGTTTTGTTTTATTCAGAAGCAATAACCACACAGAATGAGCATTTAGGGCTTTATTCCAAAGCAATATAAAGAAATAAACTAATAACATAACATGAAATAGCATTTTAAGAATATTCAGAAATTCTGAGGAATACAACAATGATCAAATAGTATTGAAGAAAAATGAAGACTACAATTTCATTCATTCATTCATTCATTCATTCATTCAAATTTATAGAGCCAATTTGTTAGAAAACTGCCAGGCAAGGAAAGATCAAGTGGGGAATTAGCCTTCAGTCATTGCATAGCTGCAGGAAACCTAGGACTTACCATCACCTCTCCAAATTCTGTAGAACCTTATCTATTTGTTCCCAAGAAACAGAAGCAGTCTGGGGAGATTCTTGTGTTATAGATAGATGACAATAAAGTAATCAACTTGAACTTTTCACATGTCGATCTGGCTGCTTTGTGACTATGACAGCTATCAAAGAATATTTGACAATACTGAAGAACACAATATGACAAGTTAAGCACATTTGTATATTCCGTCTACCAAACAGGAAATCTAAAATATGAAGTTGGGAAGAGCCTTTCAAAACCAGCACTGTCCCAGTTACGTCGACATTAAAGTTCTATCCTGGGGCCATTTTTATTAAGTTATATTGGCTCTGAACCACCATTACTCACACTCCTTTTTGATTATTTTATCTCACTGGAGTTTGCCAAAGAAAAGTTATTCATAGTTCTTGGAATACTGCTTGGTTGTAATGTTGTATCTCCAGTTCTGCCAAAAATGAGACCATCGAAGTTAAGAAGGACTGTATGTCATGTGGCCAGCTGTTTTTTGAAGTTTTTGGATTGACAATACGAAAGATGATCCTACTTTATACAGATGAACCACAAAGGGAAAATCAAAGTACAACTTAACTGTTTAATGACTAAAACAAATGCTTATTTAATTCTATGTTACATACTCAACCATCACATGGGAATATAAAGTTCTATGTACCATGCACCTAAAGGAATCCAATTCCTCTTCCTCCACAGTTTTTATATGAACACCACAAGGTTATCCCAGAATGACAACGGCAAATCAGGTCTTCAGTAGATTCACCTGTCAGATTGTCAAAAAATTCTTCAAGCATGATCACAAAGCATTGTAATCCATGAGGCAAATCATTTGATTAGGGCCAACCCTAAGAACAACTCCAATCATTGCAAAGGAATGGTAGTAATGTTCTATATATCCAGATCACATCGGATCCTATCAGTATCAAAGAAGCCAATACACCAATAGGCTCCAACTTGCCTCTACAGCCCAACTTAATATATAAGCATTCTCTCCTTGCAAGAAACAGAAACGGTTATCTAATAGATCAGTGCTATGCCTACTCCAGTCCTAATCTCTAAGCTGAAGAAGACCCAAAACCCAGTGAGGCAGATTTCAGAGACAGTAATACCACTAGCATCTCTTAGCTGGATCTCAGTAACACATACCAGTCTCCCTGCTCACCCATCTTTAAATCACAGAGGTGGTCTTAATACAGATGTTTAACAGTCACACCCCAAGGCCAGAGATACAGTTCTCCATATAATTTGATAAAATACAAGAAGATTAATGTTGATCAGTTGATCAGTTCATATTATTTGGCAGGGTTCCAAGTAACACCCCCAACAAAAGAAGACTCCGAGGCCTGAAGTTCCTCAAAGTTCCATTTTGTTCGAGATGTCATATTAGCACATCTGGGAAAACCCGAATCTGAAAGCTCCTGGGTTTTTCCCATCCAAAGGAAAGTCCAACCCCCTGCCCAGCACCCACATGTTCATCCCGTGGTCCAATCAAAGCACTGTCCCAACTGGAGATGCCTCCCAGTCACACCCTTACAGGTGCAGGGCAAGATGTCCTTGACTCGGTGAGAAAGGAATGTTATTATGACTATATATCACCCTTGCTTCAACCAATCTGCCTCCCAGTTTCCCACAGCACTAAAAGTGGCAGGCCTGAAGGCCCAAAGCAGGCCTGACATTATTTATTGAAACATCAAAGTTAAATCCCTTTAATATAATTATTTTTTGCAATTATACTAAGCATGTTTTTCAAAAGCAAGTCCATATCTGTTCAATGAGATTTTATTTTTTTTATTTGATTTATATGCCGCCCTTCTCCGAAGTCTCAGGGCGGCTTACAATGTGCTCAGCAATAGCCTTCATCCTTTTGTATATTTATACAAAGTCAGCTTATTGCCCCACAAACTGGGTCCTCATTTCACCTACCTGAGAAAGGATGGAAGGCTGAGTCAACCTTGAGCCTTCATTTAATGCACACAGTATTACAAATTTTAGAAAAATGATGGAGTGATAATGAAAATCTAAAACTGGCTGATTTAACTCAAAACCAAACAAATGTTGGCTATTTCAAGGTTTTGTACAAATTATTTTCTCTCAATTCATAAAAATGATTCGCTTTACAAAATTCTTCATAGAACAAATTTATCTGGTCACTAAGAATCAACACCAACTATATCAGATAATCAATCAATCAATCAATCAAAAGTGTATAAAATATGACAAATACCTGTAAGTTTCACTTTCTCCTTTTAAAGACTTGAACTGTATCTTCAGTTACTTGAAAAAAGATACTGTACAGCGCCTAGAGTACTGAACAAGAATTTAGTATCTATGAGGTACAGCACGTGCTTTCATACAGCTGAGTAAAAATGAGGTGTCTGGACTTTTAAGTTCATGCCAAGGTGGGTTTCAGAAGGTTCTGACCAGTTCTGGAGAACCGGTAGCGGAAATTTTGAATAGTTCGGAGAACCGGTAATAAAAATTCTGACTGGCCCCACCCCCATCTATTCTCTGCCTCCCAAGTCCCAGCTGATCAGGAGGAAATGGGGATTTTGCAGTATCCTTCCCCCGGAGCGGGGTGGAATGGAGATTTTACAGTATCCTCCCCTGCCACGCCCACCAAGCCATGCCCACCAAGCCATGCCACGCCCACCAAGCCACACCCACAGAACCGGTAGTAAAAAAATTTGAAACCCACCACTGGTTCATATACGTACTATTTACCTAATAATCTACCTTGTTGCCATTCAATTGTGTCATGTGCATTACAATCTTAAAGATATTATTTCTATGTTGTGGAAGGTCATCATGAAAATTTCAGTCTGTCGACTGATAATGACAGAGGAGCCACTATTTGTGTTTCTGAGTACTACATAAGACATTTGTGATATAAATTATATAATATTTAAATGCTGTGTCCTTAATAATCTTAATCTTAATATAAATGTTTATTTATTTTAATTCTGCATGAATAATTATGATCCGATGCATGAGGTACTTTTGAAGTTGCTTACAGAAACCAAATGTAAAGTCAAACAAATAGATCTGGTTTAGCTACATTTCTTTGGAGACTGAATGAGGTAGCATTATGTGAATATAATTTTTCTCGTTCACTTATAAATATGAATTCTAAAGAAGTCCTTTGAAGTTTAAAACAATTCTTCTATAGAACTATGTTTCTATACTAACTTCAGCCAAATAGAGCAAGGGAAAGTGTTGGAAAGTAGGTATGATGAAGATACTATTTCATCAGCTCATACGTGGCCTACCTGGTGAAGAAGGAGAGTTCAAAAGTTGGCTTGAAATTCAACATTAAGAAAACTAAGATCATGGCATCCAGCCCTCTCAATTCCTGGGAAATAGATGGGGAAGAAATGGAGGTAGTGACAGATTTTATTTTCCTGGGCTCCAAGATCACTGCAGATGGGAACTGCAGCAGTGGTGGGTTGCTACCTGTTCACACCGGTTCGTGCAAGCTGTTGAAGGAAAGTTGGCCAAGATCGTTACCGAACCGGTAACGATGGCCAGTTGGCCACGCCCCTGAACTGGTCCTCCAGTCACCGCTCGCTCACCCCGGCTGCCATGTTAGTCGCCACCATGTTCTTCACACACGCGCATCCCATTGCCTTGCAAGTCCAAGGATGCACATGCACAAAGAACATGGTGACGACGGCAGCAGCATTTTCTGCCGGTATGTTTTGGCGGCCTACAGAGAAAGGGCTGGCAAAGAAGCCTTTTCGGAGGCTTTTTTGCCAGCTGCTTCCTAGCAGCTACGGCTGGCTGGGGGCTGCCGAAAACTCCAGTCAGCTTGCCTTCCGGACTCTGGACCAGCCACAGAAGGTAAGCAGCCCAAACAAGGAGGCGGTGGTGGGGGAAGAAGGCAGGCAAGCGGGCCTGGCCATGGGGACTGCCAGGAAGGCCGCATGGAAGGCAGGCAAGCATGCCAGAGCTGCCCAGCCATGGGGAAGAGAGCTAGCAGCCTACTCCCCCGTGGCCCTGCCATGCTTGCCTGCCTTCCATACGGCCTTCCCAGCAGTCCCCCACACCCTTGCCTTCCGAGGTCGGGTCACACATGGGCGGGTGGCCCTTCAGGGAGATGGAGCCGCTTCGCTGGGGCTGAGAGGGGCAGCGGCAGTGGTGGTGCTGCAGAAGGCCAGGCAGATGTTCCGGGGCTGCTGCACATGTGCATCGCATGTGAAGGGAGGCAGACACTGCACTTCTGAGGAAAAGAGGTTGCAGCGATCAACTTTAAGAGTGCCAAGAAGCCAAGAGCAAAAGTAGCAGCAGCAGGGGTTACAAGGCACTCTTAAAGTTGATCTTGAAGAGCTGGAAGACGTTTCCTTAGATCGCCACAAACTCATCATTGGGGGAGGTGTAGGCTAGCTCCTGAATATACGAAAAGTCTTGGGCAAAATTCTTCCAAAATTCGGCCAAGTCATCTCTTCTTTCTTGGCCTTAATGTGTGTGACCAAACGTGCACATTATGAGGTGTGTGCGCCATGAGATCTGTGTGACTGTGCGTGTTTGCTCTGTGATATGAGACTGAGAAGGAGGAGAAGACATGGCCGAACTTTGGAAGAACTTTGCCCAAGACTTATCGTATATTATATATCTGTGCAGGAAAACTCCCCGGGATTTCTGGAGCACTCCTCCGCCGATGCCTGCCACGGCAAAAGCCACGTGGGAAAACTTCCTGGGAATTCCGGGATGCCCCTCCACCTCCACCACTGCTGCTGATGCCTGCCGTGGCAAAAGCCGTGCAGGAAAGCCTCCCAGGAGTTCCTGGACCCGCCACCGCCACCACTGCCACCCTGATGCCTGCTGCAGCAAAAGCTGCACAGGAAAACTTCCCGGGAGTTCCGGGACGCCTTCACATGCCTTCTATGAACTACTGAATATCAGGTACAGTTATGATCCTAAAAGAATGCATAAGGTAAAATGCTAAAAACTGGGTTACTTAGCAGATCTGTCTGGTAAAAAAGTTCTTGGATTACCCATTGTTGATTTGGATGTTTGGGACTGTGTGTATGTACACACATATGTACTTCTGTTATATCTTTGAAATGTTTTTTTGTGAGATGAAAAATCTTAATCACTAATGTGTCAGGTTCAATGCTAGATTGCATCCTCACACACTAGTTTTCTATGTTTTAATCTGGAAAAGTTCTAGAAATGCTGGAGATGGCATTATCCACAGATTTTTTTTACATGGTTTTAAAATATTGTCAAGATCTGAGTAATTTCACTGTATTGTCTGCTTTGGGAGTTGTCAAATTCTACCCTGTTTTATGGGAAACTATAACAAAACTCATTTCCCCTTGAGTTTCTTTCTGGGCAGGCAGCTGAAACTCTTGCCATTTTCTGGGGTATATATAGATGCAGTATCCTGTTCACATAACTTCTCCCATCATAGATAGAACTCATCTCCTTCTTTCTTTCACTCTTGAGAAAAATGCCTAATTATACAACTATCAACATGCTATGATTTCCCAATTCACAAGAGCTTTTGAATGCAACAGAGGAATGTTAGCAAGGCAGTTGGGAAATCTTTCATTGCTTTTAAAACAAAGCAAACAACTGGATTGTTCTTGCAATAGCTTTTTATCATAGCAGCCTCTTAGAATTTTAGGCAGATCACCAGATAATTGCACATAGAATAGTGTGTGTATATTAATTCATTATGGTTTCTGGGGGTGAAGGAATGTTTGCTACTGATTTTCTCTTCTGCTATTGGTCACTTAGAGAGGACTGATTGGCTTATGGATGTCCCTGGTGAATTCAAGGTCAGAAGAAATGAAGACAAAGTTTGCTTTCCAGCTGCTTTGTGGGGGATTGGTGGGTGGAAATTCAGATTGTGTGGATGTGCCCTATCTTTAGTGTTTTGTAAAAGTGTTTTCTGGGGAAGAATTATGCAACACTCCATATTTACTGTGAAAGCAGCTTTACAAAATGAAATAATGCTTGTGTTATGCTAGTTTTGAGACTTTTTCTCAACTGTACTGGAATAGTCATTTCTGAGTCTTTACCAAGATTGACCATAGATTTTAGAGTGGCTTGGTGGTTTACTTACAAAACCAAGTTTGTGCTGGATGTTTACTAACAAGTAGCAACTGAAGGTATACTCATATCTCTAAAATCACACAAAGCTTTTTTTGGTTAATTATTACATGGAAGAACAAGAGAATCAGCTTCCCATGAAAAACATACCTGAAAACACCCGGCATGCCCACCCAGTCACATGACTAACTAGCCATGCCCACCCAGTCACATGACCAACCAGCTATGCCCACCTAGTCACATAAACACTGAGCCACGCCCACCCAGTCACATGAACACCCAGTCACATATGCCCATAATCACATGACCACCAAGACACGCCCACCATCACATGACAATCAAGCCACACCCACAAAATAAGCCACACCTACAGAACCGGGAATAAAAAAATTTGGAACCCACCACTGGACTGCAGCCAAGAAATTAAAAGATGCTTGCTCTTGGGGAGGAAAGCTATGGCAAATCTAGACAGCATTCTAAAAAGCAGAGACATAACCCTGTCAACAAAAGTGCGTATAGTCAAGGCTATGGTTTTCCTAATTGCAATGTATGGCTGTGAAAATTGGATCATAAGAAAGGCTGAGCGCCAAAGAATTGAGGCCTTTGAATTATGGTGCTGGAGAAGACTCCTGCGAGTCCCTTGGATTGCAAGGCGATCAAACCGGTCAGTCCTAAAGGGGATCAACACTGACTGCTCTTTAGAAGGCCAGATCCTGAAGATGAAACTCAAATACTTTGGCCACCTAATGAGAAGGAAGACTCAGTGGAGAAGAACCTAATGGTGGGAAATATTGAGGGCAAAAGAAAAAGGGGATGATAGACAATAAGGTGGCTGGATGGAGTCACTGAAGCAGTGAGCTTGAATGGACTCCGGGGGATAGTAGAAGACAGGAAGGCCTGGAGGAATGTTGTCCATGGGGTCGCGATGGGTCGGACACAATTTCGCAACTAACAACAATAACAACACCTGGCCTAACTTAAAATGAAAGACAGGCACTTCATGGTTATGACACTATGATGAAAACAACATGTAGAAAAATATTTTAAAAATTGTTATGATTACATTTCACTAAAATCAATGAGGTAGGTTTACAGAACTCATTTGAATGTGATACAAGGTTAGATAACACTGAGATTAAATTGTTTAAGAAAATGTTTGAAGAAAATGAATTCAATTGGAATGAAGTGCTAATGAGCTTTAGCGAGACTTAATCTATTTATTCAAATTTATTATAGAGTAATCTAATTTGGATTGTTGTCTACTTCCTACTTGGCACAGCAGAAGGTAAGGCAATTTACCATGTATTATATTTTGCGTCAGAACAATTTCATGTTTGGTTTAACAAGGAAGTAGATAATAATACTCTTTATTTTTCACATTTTATATTGATTAATATAAATTTCATTAATTCATATACCAATTTTTTGTCAGCTATATCAGCAAATAAATACAGCTACTGAACCTAATGAAGTTACATGTATTCTGTAGGGTTTTAACTTTTAATATGTGTGCAATTCCATCATGATGTCATGTGTTCATGTGTGGATATGTGTGTTTGGTTACTGTCTACAAGAATAGCGGAGATCTTCAATTTTTAGAGACCTTTTCTTCATTTGTGCTTGCTGAAAATGTTATCTTTCCCCAACCATTATAGTAAAAGATGATGGTATTTTCTTGAAGAGCAAATGAATATTGATGGAGCTATGACTTAGTTCCACTGAATTTTAAATTTGCAAGATTTTTCTTGGAAAGAGAAATTTTTCTCTTAACTAGTTGTCGACCACTTAAAATCTTATTATAAGTTATATAATGTGTGATAAAATCTAATTATTTTATAAATGTGACAAATTGTTCCCCTTCTTCAAGTTTATGGACTATGTAGGGTGAGACAAAAGTATAGTGAATCAGACTCTATGGAGATTCTCAGTCATCTAGGTCAGGGGCCTGCAACCTTAAACATTCAAAAGAGCCATTTGGACCTGTTTCCCAAAGAAAAGAAAACACTGGGAGCCACAAAACCCTTCCCGTGCCTGATTATTTCTTGAGCAGCCACAAAACTAGCATATGTAGTTGAATTAAATGTTCTGTTTTCTTCTGAAATTTTTCTTTTCTTGGATTAATCTATGGTTGGCCTACTGGGAGTTGAGAAGCTCAATAAATCACGTGGCAGGTGTCTCACATTGGCAGTTGTGACGCATATTTTGAGTGACAGGGAGCCGCAGCAGAGGGGTGAAAGAGCCACATGCGGCTCCAGAGCCGCAGGTTGCTGACCCCTGATCTAGGTCATGGTTGTCCCAAAGGTGCTTTTTCAAAAGGCAACTGTACTTTCTTTCTTTGTGCTAAAGACATTTTGCTTCTCATCCAAGAAGCCTCTTCAGTTCTGAACTTATAGTTGGATGAGATACGAAACTTCTTCAAGCAAAAACAAAGAAAGTCCAGTTGCCTTTTGAAAAAGCACCTTTGGGACTTCCCGATCAGAACCAAATTTTAGAGGAGTAACATGAAGGTATAGATAGTCCTCATACAGCAACTGCAATTGGTTTCAGTGACTTGGTCATTAAGTGAAGTCATCACTAAAATGAAAATCAGGTGACTGTGCTTACAATTTTATTTCAGCTTTCCTTTGCTTTGTAGTGTCAGAATGATACAACCCCAAAGAGCTGGGTGATCCCAAATGACAGGAAGGTTTCTGGAACTCAACTCACAAGAAAGCTGGGTAAAAGGGCAATCTTATAGCATTTTTCCCTCATTAGTGGGAATGGTCACCCAGGGCTGGGATACTTAGCAAGAAGAAAATTAATATCTGAATTTATATTCATTTTAGTAGAAGAGATTTCAAGCAAGTAAGCAGACACAGAATGGGGAATTCAGATTGAAAGAAGTGTGTAAGTGGCAGCTGTTTCCTGCTTAGGAACAAGCAAAAGCCTTCAGTTTAAAACTGATTAGGGTACTGCCATTTTCAGGCAGCAGTGCCACCTGGCCAGAGGGATCTAATCAGCTAATGAAGGTTAAGCTTGTTAACTCACAGTTAGCACTTTTTAGGGATGCACTGTATTGCAGATAAAAGCAATTCAGGAAGAGATAGCTTGTTTCAGCAATCTCTCTGCTTTGGGGGATGAGGAGGGGAGAAAAAAAAATAGATGAGGCACAGGACAATGCAATACTGTCCTACAGGTATTTGTTGTTTACCAACTGCCTCATTGACCAATTATTCCAAGTTACAACAGAGTAATAAAGAAAGCTTTTCAGCCCTTGCATTTATGGCCATTGCAGTATTCCCTAATCGTATGATTGCCATTCAGACCTTTCACAACCAATGTGTATTTATGACTACTGCAGTGCCCCATGGTGAAGTGATTACCATTTGTGTGCTTCATAACTGATGTGAATAAGCAATGATCAGCAGGGTTGTGAAAGAAGGCGGAGTTAAAATCATAAGTCATGGCAATGTGATGTTTCATTTACTGACTGTTGTTTCTCTTAACAATTGAAAGGAAAGTGAGGTCATATGCCATTACGGTCCATGATGTTTTGTTTAATGACCATAGTACTTAAGGTCAGTCCCAATTGTGGTTGCTAAGCTACTACAACTATGAATATGTGACACACACACTCTGCAAAGTTCGTAAATTATACATTCATCACCGTTGTCATTGAAATGATCATTGTTACCTGTACTTGGTTCAATTTATCTGAAAGGCAATATGTTAGAGAAGGCTAGTATGAACATTTAAAATAGTTAAGATGAGCTGTCTTAAAGTTATCTGCAGTGAAATGTTTATACTTGCAAATGTCTAAAACGAATGAATTTTGAAAAAAAAAATGAATGTAATTAATCATTTTCAGATTTTGCTTTGTATACCCTCTAGCCAATGAAGTCTGTTATGAAACAATAGGCTGCTTTTCTGATAAACCCCCTTGGTCAGGAATACCTGGGAGACAGCTGTTCGGCTTACCGGCATCTCCAGAAAAGATGAATATTTCTTTCTCACTTTTCACAAAAGAAACTGGAAATCTCTCACAAGTATGATTATTATTATTAATCTTATTATAATTTAGTTACTTACTTTGCAAATATCTATTTTTTTCCCTTTCATATAATCCAGAAACAGGTGGATTTATTTTTTAGACTAGCTAATTAGATGGATAAAAATGTAAACTTAATAAAGTACAAATCAAACCTTTATTGTCAATACACAACATGTGTATAATGAGATTGAATGAGCCTCCCTAAAATTGCTTTAAAGTATTTTAAAATGTTAGTTGTAGATTAATGCAATTTTAGTTATTAGGCCACCAATTATCTGAATTAGTATTATTCAATGCACTGAGTTACCTAAAATACCAAAACTGGCTAAAAATATTTGCAACTGAGAATAAGAAAAAAGCTGACTTTTTAACAGTTTGGCTGCAAGGTCTGATCACTTATGATCTGATGACTGAGGCAAATCAGTGTTTTTTGTTGTTTTCTTGCCATCTGGATAACAGCAGTCGAGTGATAGACTTGTTCCATGTGTTAGGCAGAGAAACTGTGAAGTTAATTGGTAAATTGTCAATTGGAAGAAGTCAGAAACATCTGTTTGTAATAGAGTCTGTGGTTCCAGCTCCAGTATATGTAGCTAAAAGATATACAGCATGTTGCTTCAGACTTTAAGAAACAGCTTTTAACAATTGCCTAGACTTGGAAATGAATGGGGCAAGACCATTGAGCCCACTCATATACATTTATTTCTCATTAAAAATTATAGAAACTAATTAAGTTTGGCTTATGAAATATTAGGGCCAAGAAAATACGTTACATTCTTTGGTTTGAAAATGTTAGACATTTGAAAGAATTATATCATTATCTTTAAATTATCCTGCAGAAAATATTGTACAATGAAATATCAAGTCTCCAAAATTCTAACTTCTCCCCATTGAGGAAAACCCGCTTTGTTATCCATGGATATACAAGCACTGGAAAATATGGCTGGGTAGTGGAGCTGTGTTTGGTATGATATTTCCTTATTCTGGGGGGGAAAGAGAGCAAAATTTTAATATGCATCTTTTGCTTAATAAATATATGGTTTAAGTCACAGGTTGGTAATCTAGAGTCCATCAGGGGATGTTTAGTCCAAACAACCCCCCCAATGTTTTCACTGGTTGCTGTAAAATAATCATCTTTATTTATAATAATGCCCTTGGATCATTTGCTGGGTTTTGTTGTTTTTCTTTCCTTTGTGAAACTGGAGTGTTTTTATTTTCATGAGTCACAAGATTTCAGTAGGCATATCAGTTGCTACTCATTAAAGCACTAAAATGCTATAAAGCACTATTATATGTGCCGATGTACAGGAAATTGGTAGGTGAGCCTGGACTGTGTGGCTTGGGGCTGAATTACAAATCCCTGTGGAATTTAAGAACTCAGTGACCAGGTATTTTTTAAAGGATCTATTTTGTTGACATTAATCATCCAAATGTAATATTTTTTATACATCACTTCGATGTTATAGCTTCTGGTAGATATGGAAGACATTAACTGTTTTGCTGTTGACTGGGAAGATGGAGCTAAATGCACCTATTTCATTGCTGGCAGCAATATCCGTGTTCTTGGAGCAGTGATAGCTAAATTTATCTTTACTATGAAGGTGAGATTTTAAGTCAAATATATTACAAAACATCAAAGGCCCTGATACTACCTGCAGAAATGACATACTATCAATCTATTTACCAACATATCTGTATCAATTGTACAAAATAAACTTAAAACCATTTTATATGTTAAAATAGGAATATTTAGATCAAGCTCTAAACCAGAAGGGTCCGGCCTTGGCAATTTTAAGACCTGTGAACTTCAACTCCCAGAATTCCACAAGTCCACAAGTCTTAAAATTGCCAAGGTTGATTTATATTAGAATCATATGTATAAATGGTAAATTGAAGTAAGGGAGAAAAATGGATATGTAAGAAATGTTTACTGCTGCGAAAATGTTGAAAAGAAGAAAATTGTAAAAAAATATTTTTTGTGTGTTTTTAAAAAAACTGTTTAGTAAAAATTATTTTAAAAAATAAAATAAAATAAAATTGCCAAGGTTGAACAGCACCATATATTTTTTCAGAGTCTCTTATGAGCTTAGTATGTTCAAATCTAGAATAAAATGAATGCTAATTTTTAAATGTTTCCCCGCAGTTTTACACTGTGCAATTTTCTGCAATAATACACCCTTCTTTAAAAAGTTGGAAATATTTAAGCACTAAAAATTTTCAAGAATATTTATAAAAAAATAATAAACCAACAATATCAGTACTCCAAACCAAAATCCCAGTTTCAGCTGAAATTAGAAGCAAACCAATCAGACACATCCTGGAGGGAATATGTAGCTTATTAAATTGACTTGAGGGCTTTTTAAAAAGTTATTTTTAAATACAAATTCAAACTGATAAAATGTAGACTCACCAGATTTAACTGTGATTAAAAAAGAAAAAAAAAGGTGGATAATTTATATTACAATACCAGCGGATAGCAAAATAGAAGAGAAAGCATTGGAGTACATAATGAAGTATGAAGATATGGACATCAAATTTGAAAGCTTATTGCATAAACCAAGGCTGGGTTCTACTTTTCTTTACTACCGGTTTGCTATGGGGCCGCGTGTGCGCGCGAGTGAAGTGTTCTGATGATGTCAGGGTTGGAGTGCGGAGCCTCTCACCGGTTTTACTACCGGTTCTATAGAACCGGTGCGAACTGGGGGCAACCCATCACTGGCATAAACCATCTATGATGGTCCCTGTGGTTATTGGCACACTCGGTGCCATACTAAAAAATCTTAGATGGCAAAAAGTCTGTGCGTTGATAAAATTTCCATCTGTCAATTTCAAAAGATCACATGGCTTGGATCAGTGCATATACTGCACTGATACATTATGTCATCCTAGGTTCTTGGGAAGAAATGCTCTTGAAGGCCAATACCAGCTAAAGAAGTGGCAGATGTGATTTCACACTTATTGTGTACCTAATGATAATGTTTTTGTTCCAATAATGCAGTGCACAGATAATCAGGAATACAATAAAAATAAGCAATAATTACTAAACAAAATTTGAGATTCTATAATATCAAGTCAATAGCTATATTAAAAATATTTGTTACAGGAATCTCTTCGGTTAATGACAATATGAAAAAATTATTATCTATGCCCATCCATGGCACTTATATGACTTTTCAAGCCTTATGGGTGTACCTAATAGAAACAGTATTTCTTCTCAAGAAAAAATATTTCACACAAACTAAAAAAGGCACCATATTCTTCTGAAATATTTATATAATTTGTTATCCATCCTAAGCATTGTAATTAAACACTTAAGCACCAATTTACTTTCATATAAATACTATATTAAAAAGTCCCACTGAATTTTTTCTAGATCTTATAAAATTATTTAATTTTGAAGTACTATATTGCAATTTCATACAATTTTAATAAGTGAAAAAAATTTGGCCGGAATATTCACTTTAAACCATGGGTTAAAGTCTGTCTGTTGGTTTGTGTATACTTTGAAGCTGAGTAGCTGTACAGAACTATGGTCAATGTAATCAACATCATTATGAGTCCTAAAAATAGGTCAATATTATTACAATACAGGAAAAATTCTGCTTCATTTGCAAATTGTAATAATGCTGTTTTACTTGCTAATCATTCTCCCCTTTCTTGAATTACTAGAAAATCTATCGGTATTGTCCTTCCAAAGTCCACCTCATTGGCCATAGTCTTGGTGCTCATACTGCTGGAGAGGCAGGAAGACGACTTCAATATGTTGGAAAAAAATCTCCTGCCATTGGAAGAATAAGCGGTATGCTATCCAAAGTTATAACACATTGCAATCTTGATTGAAAGACAGGAAGCCTTGAAGTGGAAGTCAATCAATCTGGGGAACTAAACCAGGTTAAATGTAAAATAAGTCGTTTCTGATGAGTCTTAGCCTTCCTGTGACATGCATTAAGCATCCTGCTTAAGAAATGCTGCTAATCTTTTCATAATCACATTTTCCATTACCCATTCTTTATATGTATATAATGTGCCTTTTGAAATTGGGCATGTTGGCTGTAATTAATGCTGTTATTAATCACACACACACATAGATATATATGCAGATGCAGATGCAGATGCATACACATATATAGTACATATACATATACAACAGCATTAATTGCAGCCAACATGTCCAATTTCAAAAGGCAGCATGCAAGAGCTGTGGTGGCAGAGTGGTTAGAATACAGTATTGCAGACTAATTCTGCTGACTGCCAGCAGTTCAATTCTCACCAGCTCAAGATTAACTCAACCTTCCATCTTTCCAAGGTCAGTAAAATGAGGACCCAGATTGTTAGGACCAATATTCTGACTCTGTAAACCGTTTAGGGAAAGCTGTAAAGCACTCAGAAATAGTATATAAGTCTAAGTGCTAATGCTATTTATCTCTTTTTTTAATCTCCCAGTTTCAGCCAGGTTGGTGACTATTCCTCTTTCTGCCCATTCCCATTAAGGAAAGAAGCCAGTTCAAGAGACTAACAATACAGTATCTGTTTCTAATTTTCACTGAAAAAATCAATTAAAACAATAAGAAACAAACAGAACATTTTGTTCTGCTGACATAAAAAGCTGGATAGCCATGCAAGAATATTGAGTTGGCCTTGGCAACATACACGTATCTTGTTATGCTATTACATCATTCCATCTCTCTCATTCTCCTTGCCTTTCTGTTGTTTCTGCACTAGACACTCTGTAATGGCATTGTTTTAACTTTTTAATATTTGGGAAAGCTGCAGTGAGTTGCAGTTGCAGCTGGCATTTTTTCTTTGTTTTTCCTATATGGCTTTTTTTAAGAAGAAAACAGTAGACCATGCTGGATCATAGATGCAAAATTTAGATGCCCTCCATGTTGAAAGATGATAGTCAATTGGACTGAAATAGGCAACTATAAAAATTGAATAAGAGTCTTTTGTACAAGATCTTATTAATAATCTGAACATTCCCAACAAATTTCATTTTATGATCCTTTACAGACAAGAAAAGAAACTCTGCCAATGTGCAGTTGTTAAAGTTGGTATATAAATGTAACTTCCAAATCTTAAGAAGCAAAGATCAAAGTTTTGTATATCCCATTACTTACCGTCAAGAGAAATCAAGTAGTACTTCAGACTACATATGTGTTTCTAACAGTAATGTGTCCCTTTTATCAGAATTCCAGGTTTATGTGAGAAGAATAATGATCACCAACCAATTGTTAATTTCTGTGGGTGTCAGATCGCAGACCCCACACCACAATTGATAGATGAGTTTCATTTCATCTAGAGATCCACCAGTATAAAAAGATCAAATGGGCCAGAGTGAATATGATGGATTTGACTGAATACAGGAAATCTGATCAAGCCCTGACTCTGGTAAACACAATAAAGTCTATAAAAACCTAAATGAAAGACTAGAAAATTCTTAACAGAAAAGGCCCACCTAGAAAGTCCCAGGTAAAAGGGCCTCATTGGTTTGGTTCAGAGTATGGCTCCCTGAGAAAAAAATATGCATACAGCATGGAACTATCCATCAAATAATAATTATGTTGCCATGCTAGCACTCAGACAAGAATACAAGGAAACCATTGAGTTCAAGAAGCCTCATTACTTGTCCTCCCTCTGATTAAATTTAGAGTCAGCAGCCAAAAATCCGAATCCAACCTTTTTCTGACACTCAGTTGCAGGACTATTATTGGAACGTAGTTCTACATGGACACCCTTATACCTGCTTTCATGTGGGAGGAATATTATAGTCAATTATTCACTCATGCCTAAGCGTAAGCACAGGATACCCAACAGGAAAAAATAGCACTAACAAAAGAGACAGGCAAGGCTGTATACACTTAGGACTTGTTTTCACAGAAACAGGCTCACACATTTTAAGAGGAGTTCTTCAAAGGCTACAGCCTATGCCAATACCAGAAGGCAACTTACCAACCATAGTTACCCAGATTCTCCAATTCCAATCATAAAGATATATACTGTAATATCAAAATTGTCCCAATGACCACATATGGTGCAGAACTGTAGGGATATATAAATGCTCACTTACAGGAACAGATATAAGCTACTTTTCTGTAATGTATGTTGGGATTGGATAACTCTATGTCAGCTCAGCAGTAAGGACAGAGTTGGGCATACAAACCTATTTAGTAATTAAAGTATTTACTTACTGGCTGAAGATCCTATCCATGGACTCAGATAGACTACCCAAGCTGTATTTTGAAGAGGAACTACACAACAAGCAACCTTGCACTTGGGCCACTCAATTTTCAAATGTTATCCCTCAATATGGATTCTCCATCCAGTTTCCAATCCAATCAGATCTAAAGGTCGAAGAAGCTTTCAAACAAAGAGTTATTGATGTGGTTGCCCAAGATTATATTGCAGCACTTAAAAGTGTCAAATCTCTGAAGGGCTAGCTCATCATAAATCAGCCTCCCAACTAGAAAAATGTTTAACAACTTAAATATGCCTCAACATCTCAGAAGAGCTCTTTCTAGAGCTTAATTCAAACAACTGGATTCCATGGTAAGAAAGGTTAGGCATTTGTGGAGCACCAGCCATTAAAGAAACTGGACCCATTCTTGTCAACTGCAAATTGAACTCCCCAGAAAGGGTTGCTTATTTAGACCCTTATTAAAAACTAAAAAAATATTGAGAGAAATAGCCTTCTTGCAGGGAACGAACCTGCACATTCTCAATAAGAAGGAATCTTCCTTATCCTTCATTCCAATGGCATCTCAAAGAAGACAGAATACCTTGATTAGTTTGGAGTTAACCATAGGGGTAACAATCTATTAGGAAGTTCTGTTTTCTTTTTATCTATTTGCATTTTGGATATTTTATAGATTTGATATAATCAATTGACTTAATAAAGTTCTTCCGTTTTATTTTGTAGAATTTTATCTTATTCTTTCACTTTATCTTACCTACTATATTTTAGCTTGTGATAGCTATTTTATCTCACTTCACTGTATCTCATCTCATTTTATTGTATTTTACTGTGGCTGATGCTCACATTTGATATGGACAATTGACTAAACAATAAAATATATCATATTTAATAAATAAATAAATTGCAGTCAACCTGACCTACCAATACTGGGTCACTGCAGCTATGATTTCAAAGTTCAGTAGTATAGTTCTATGTATTTTTACCTGATTATTTTAACTGAAGCAAATACTATTTACATATGAAAATGCTAATAGATTTGTCATTGCCATATGGAAAATGTCAACATGTTTTTGTAATTGCACACCTTGTTTCTTATGCTAAATTGAATTAATCAAAATGCATTGCAATATAATGGACTTCTTTTATGTATTTTTTATAGATTCATTATTACCAGTCTATGGTAGGACTGTTGATGTGCATTTTCAGTCCAAAAGGAATATGCATGCATGCATGCATGCATATATATTCCAATTCTTTGTGGGGTTATGTCCCCCCCCCTATTTAGGTTTAGACCCAGCAGCCTTTGGTTTTGAAGGATTCCCTGAGATGGTCCGGCTAGATCCTTCTGATGCTGGATTTGTGGATGTCATACACAGCAATGGTGCCCGATTTCCTTTAGGTAAATGGCCAGATACAACTGAATCTTGTGATAGAAGCAATAACAGTGATTAATCATGTAACACATTTTGAATTTATTACAGGACTTGGGATGTTTAATGCCACTGGTGATATGGATTTTTATCCCAATGGTGGAAAGCTTATGGTTGGATGTAAAGATGTAAAACAGGATCAGGAACAGGAAGGTAAGGTAACCCTACCCTCATTTTCCTAAAGGTAACCATATCCTCATCTTCAGCATTTACATTCATAAGCATTATACTGCCAATAAAACTCTAATTCAGACCGAGTCTCTTAGGATTGGATAGATGAATTGCTCTGTTTCTTGCTCATCAGGATTGGGTTGTAGGTTTTTATTCAGAAGTAATGACACACCAGTAGGAGTACTTAAGGCTTTATTCTAAGGCAATATGAGAAAATGACAACATAATGTTCAGAACTACTAAAGGTATGAAAGAAGAAAAGAAAAAAGAAAGATTGTATGCCCCTTCTGCTAATAAGGGAACTCCAAAATGATAACAGAGAGCAAACCCTTTCAAGCAAGTGACTATGCAGCACCATTCCAATGAAATCTCCATCTCATGGGGGTTTCGGATAAGTTAATATGGACTCAAACTATCATTAATCACACCTATTTTCAGTAACTTTATCTGATTTGGTTCAACAAGGACCAACTCCTTGCCAACAATGAGGCCATTCTAAGGTTAAGGAATATTTATTTATACTAGGTGATTTATAGCAAGGATGAGAAAGATTATTTCCCCCTACATGGTGTTTCATACCAAGGTCAGAAACAAACAGATAAATATTTAATTATATAATACTGTACATGTTCAACAATTAAATAAAAGTATCACATTCTATACACATGTACTGAAAGGAAAGGGGTACACACCACTATCTAATTCCTCCCTCACACCTTAGAGGCTGGCCCTCACTGCCAATTAGCAAGAGAATTTATTTGAAGAATAATGAAAAACAAAACAAGATAATGGACACAAATCCCCAGTAAACTATTATTTATTTATTATTTGAAACAATAATCTTCTAAAAAATAAATAATGTTTTTGTGCACTGAGCCTGTACTCTTTAAAAATATTATTTTGTCTGCCAAGGGATTCAGGAGATGATCTATGAAATCATCCATGGAGGAAAAGGTTGAAAGTGATTTATGTGTTATAGATGTTTGAAGCCTATCACACCAATTTCATTTCATTTTCCACTGAAAATCAAAGTGCTATTATTTCACAGTTTGATGGCATTTTGATGTGACAATCTTGAGAGATTCTGATGGTCGAACAAAGAGGGTGAAAGGGCCACATTTAGCCTATTATGCAGCATATATTTTTTAATAAACAAGTTATCTTAGACTTTTATCATGATCCCAACCAATAGCTACCATGATATTCCATTATAATTCATTCTCCCACTAATTTATTCATGCTCATAATAATGGTACTCATTTGATTTATATTCCATCTCTTCTCCATGAACTTAAGGTGCTGAACACATAAGTTCCTTTGTTACTTTTATCCTCACAATAATAGCCCTGTGAAGTAGGTTGGGCTGAAAGATAGTAAATGAGAAGGAGCTTAGCATTTTAATTAAAACAAGTCACTTGCAGCAGACAAAGCAGAACAAAATGACATTGTGCTTAACTTTAGCATCTGTTTTCATCCTGAATGGAATCAGGCTTCCATTATATTGCAAGCAATGATAGAGTTATTTCTTTTGCTAGAGATTCGTTCGGTTGGAAATTGCCATCACTCACGAAGCCATGAGTACTACAAATACAGCATTCTCTATCCTAGTGGGTTCCTGGCCTATCCCTGCAAATCATACGAATCTTTTCAAGCGGTAAGCATGCCATTCTGCCCTGGTTCAATCCAATTAGCTTCTTTAAATAGGTCCATTCAAAGTATAAGCATGGCACTATATGCTGGAGTTCATTTGTTTTAAAGTTCAATATAGCTAAAGAACAAATCCATATTTTTAAGGAAAAACAAATCCATAACCTCTAAGCTTTTGTTCTTGGCATCAGACCTCAACTATGTGACATGCCACAAAGTGTTGAATGTGTTCACACAATACATTTTCATCAAATAACCACCGGTTCCAGGTTTGAGTAGGAAATTCCTCTCAATGAATTACTTCTCTCCTGCACACCATTATTTTCTTGCAACTGCTGCTTCTTCTACTCACTTCCAGAAAACTGGACTGAATGAGTGTGCTTGCTGCAAATGTAAAAGGATTAGCCGCAGGCCATGGAGAATCTGGTGGGCAACAGTGGATATCCTATCAAAAGGGGGGTGATGGCAGGTGTCATCACAATTTTCCCATATCTAGGATCTGGTATAAATCTATTTGTACAAGCCACCTTCCTGTGACCTCTCGTTTTAGAAATTAAAACCTTCACCTTCACCTTGCCCTGTCAGTGATTAGTGGTAGGGGGAGGGAGGCATTAGTAATAAAGAATAAATCAAAACAACCAAGGCAGCCAACATCTGCCTGAACTGAAATACACATACAACAGTTCATTTAGTGACTTACAACAGTTCATTTAGTGACCTTCAAAATTACAACACTGAAAAAAATGACATGACCATTTTTTACACTTACAAGAGTTGCAACATCTCCGTGGTCACATGGTTAAAATTCAGACATTTGGCAACTGATTCATATTTATGACGGTCATAGTGTCCCAGGGTCAAGTGATCTCCTTTTGCGACCTTCTGACAAGCAAAGTCAATGGGGAAGCCAGATTCATTTAACAACTGTGTCATTAATTTAACAACTGCAGTGATTCACTTAATGACTGTGGTAAGAAAAGTCATAAAATGGGGAAAACTCACTTAACAACTGTCTCACTTTTCAGCAGAAATTTTGGGTCATAAGTGGAGGACTACCTGCAATCACATCTACTATTTGCAGTTTGAGGTGCTAAACCAAGATAGCAGTGCATACTTGAATGTACAATAAAGATTATAGTGGAAACCAGTGATGGATTGCTACTGGTTTGCCCCAGATTAGGCGAACTGGTAGTGGCGGTGGCGGGAGGCTTTGCCCACCCACCCAGACATCTCTGTGCATGTGCAGAAGCGTAGCACATCCACAAGCAAACCAGTAGCAATGGGATTTGAAACCCACTACTGGTAGAAACAGTGAAAAGACTTGAAAAAAGCTTTTGGAACCAATCTATTTATTTTATCCTAGGGAAATTGCTTTCCATGTCCCAAAGAAGGCTGCCCAGTAATGGGTCACTATGCTAATCAATCCCATGATAAAATGAAGAAAAGAAATCAAAACTACTATCTAAACACAGGATTTAAGGAACCCTTCACCAGTGAGTACATAAAGTATGTGCGGAATAATCATGTAACCAGTGAATCTGCAAAGAAACCTACTAATTTAGGATTGATTATGGCTGCCAGTACCAGGGTCATGTTTCTGAAATGTAAAGCTGTATCAGGAGTTATAACTTTCCATTTGTTATGTGTAGCATGAAATGGAATTATCATGCATGTTCATGCTGACAAGAGTGCAAGAAATTGTCTTGTGTTCTTACCTGGATGCCTTCACGGAGATCTCACTTCTGTGTTTGAGGTTGTAAGGAATATCTGACTAAGTTCACAGCCAATCTCTTCTGACAAATCTGGAAATTTTAACTACAGTAAATGATTAACTATCAAACTAGACCAATTACTTATCATGGCTGGTCATATATGCAACCATAGCATGCATATATTGTAGGAGGCAGTTCTAGTCTCTAAATTTGGAAAGACTGACTGCCAAGATTTATCTTCCAAGAAAAAAATAATACTATTAGAATTTCAAGAGTAAGCAATTAATCTTTTTATATACAGGATGAGTAAAACATGTTTAAGGAGAGTCCCACAAGTGCACCTGGACTTTATTTTTTTCTTTGAAGATGTTTTGCCTCTTACCCAAAGCACTTGTGGGATAACCATGACCTGGATGACTGAGAATCTCCATAGACATGTTTAAGGAGAGGTATGCACACACGCACAGACACGCACGCACGCACACAAAGACACATACCAAAATAGTATATTTTTCTGTATGAGCTACTTAATAGCTTGTCTATATGAAATTCTTATTTCATATAGACAAATTCTTCAAAAAAAAAGAAATGCCTTCTCATTGGAATGTTCTGCTTGGTGTCCTTTGTTGAAACCTCCCCTGATGCCACATTGCATCCTTTTCAGTACTTCACTATTTCCCAAGGTAGTTCAAATTTGAATTCAGAGGAGAAAAGTGTTTAGGTTTTACATTTGTATGGTGCTAAATATCTCATTTTTATTTCATTATGCAAAAATCCACTTTTGAATGAAGGTGTGATGTTTAGGTTTTTTTCTAAAAAATAAAAATAAACACATGTTTGAATACTACATATTTACATTCTTGTTTTCATATCCCAGCCCTTCAAACTCTTATAATTGAGGATGAGGGATGATTTTAAATTGAGTTTGTGGCTAAAATTACCATCAATTAAGACAACATAGGTAATATCTTTTATTAAAACTATATTCCCTTTAGGATAATCTGCCAGATGGGATGGGCTGAAGAAATTAAACTCCTGTAAATATTATTTATTAAAATGTCTTAAGATTCTTTAACATTATAAACTTTTTAAACAATCATTTTTCCTTATTTTATTATTTTTTCTTATTTTAATCTCAATAACAAAGATAACCTTTGCCTAATTATATTTCATACCTAGCTATTTTGTATTTATCTAACTGCTGCATTTATAACACATGTGTCATATTACCTAGGTTGGCGATATAATATATCTGTCAAACTAAATGGAATGAAATATGTGAAAGGAGAAATAAATATAGTTTTCCACAGTAAAAATGGAGATATGAAGGAATATCAGATTATGAGGTATATTTCATGCTTTCTTCTTGCAGATTTTCAGTTTTGCTAAATTTAGGATAATTATATCAATAATTCAATTAAGAGTTTTTCATATTTATCATGTATAGAGTACTTCCAAAGACTTCACACACCCTAGCTCCTAATTTAAGGATTAGGTGTTTTATGAAATAACAAATTAAAAAGGTAATAACATATCGTACTCTATAAGTGATATAAAAAAAGTTAAAAAGTGGGAAGTGAAGAAGTTAGGAATGTTGTCCTTTTTTCAACAATAAAATGATTTAGTTTGTAAATTCTGTTTTAATACCTGATGAAATGGGCTATAGAATCAGCTTTCAGGGTGGAGACAATGGGAATGGAATAGCTTTTATGGTGACCTATGATGTCTTATAAGTAAATATGGTACGAAACAAATTGTTTAAGCTATTATAGCTTTAATAGATTATTTTATAACATGTGTTGTGTGTTGTCAGGGAATTGTGCAGCAACTGTCCACATGAAGTCAGAGACACTTCATTTTACACTTCATTGTAATTTTATATAAATAAATATTTTTACATTTATATTTATAGCAGACAAAATAGTCAGGAACACAGGAACATCATGAGGTAAATCAAACAGCATACAGAGGACACACAGAAGAAAAAGGCAGGGAGAAAAATTAAAATTCCCCTTTACACCCACAGCAACCAATCATAGTGTAGATTGCCTCAGGCATGAGCCAGCACTCTCCAATCAATCAACTACAACTGTGTATTCTGGCCCATTGTACCCTTTACTGTTCCAGCTACTAAATTAAATATCCTAACCTTCATCCAATCTGAATTATCTGATTGAGATAAATTGTGAATGAGAAATATTAATATCACCGAATAATTAATTGTGAAGTTGTAAAAAAAAAAACTTGTCCTGATGCTCTGTAATTCCTTCAATCTTATTTTTACAGGGGTAGCCTTAACCAAGAACAAATCTATTCAAAGCTCACAGATGTAGAAATTAATCCAGAAAATGCTTCAAGAATTGAGTTTGTTTGGCACAAGCAATTCTTTACTGTCTTTTGGGCTCAACTAGGAGCAGAAAAAGTAAATCTTACCCGTGGGCAGGATGGGCGCAAGTAAGTATAGCCATTCTGATACTTAATTTTCATGATTTGTATCAAGCTTTATTTGATAGTCCAGGAAAAAATTCTTTCTATCTGAGCAAGGATGGGACTTGAGCAAGGATGGGATTTGAACATACTGAAATCCACTGATTATGGTTGGAAGGAGCTGTTGATCTGCTGTTCCAAACTGCTAGAGTGAATACATAAGCATGAACTACATGCCCTCTTGCTACATATGCAGTTAGACTTCTTTTTACTTTATTTTTTTGTTAGATGGTTTTGTTCAAGGTGGGTTATTGTAATTATACAAATATTGATCAATAGATAAATAAGCAGTAAAAATTAGAAACAACATCTCTGAAACAATGCAAAATAAGAACGACCTGTTTGTTATAGAGCCGTGATGGCAAACCTATTGCACGTGTGCCAGAAATGGCACCCAGTGCCCTCTCTGTGGGCACATGAGCCATCGCCCCAGTTCAGTTCTGCCGTGCATGCGCACGTGCCTCCCGCTGGCCAGCTGGTCTTCAGGTCTCTGTTGCGCATGCACGGGGGTGGGGCATATGCAGAGGGCCATGTGCGCATGAGCAGGGGAGTGGGGCACGTGTGGGGGACATGCAGGGGGACACGTGCATGGGGCTGCATGCACATTGCATTTTGCGGGGTGGGCCCGCTTTGGGCACTCGGTCCGGAAAAGGTTAGCCATCACTGTTGTAGAGATTTCCAGTTCAGAATACACTTTCAATAATTTCTCCCTTGTCACCTCCCAAAACATTTCTAGAATTATAAATAGAGAAGAAGGCTCAGAAAGTCCAGCCTGAAAGGTTCAGAGAAGAAAGTTTTCTTCTGATAAAGTATTCTAGACCTTCTATCATAGGAATACCCTGAATATTTTGTAATGTTCACTCTTGCATTATAAACCTTCTTTTGTCCAAAAATCTAAATCTTTAACCTCTGTATATAGTCAAAACATGGATTAAGGGATGGAAGAGAGAAGTTAACTAACAAATGTGGGATTTATATAAGGATTATTTTCCCTTTCCCTTCTTCCAGGACTTCCCTTTGTGGCCATGGAACAGTAAAATATGAAGTTCCTCAAATGCTTACACCTTGTGGAAAACTAAAGGAGACATAATCATAAATTGTAAGAGTAATGAGGAACAGCTTCTTCACGTGGCCTCTGAAAGAGCTTGATGGTTTGAAGTATGACCTATTGAAACAAATCTTCTGTCATTTCTTTTCATCGTCTCAGCTCGGAACACAATCATCATAATTGTTTTAGGTATAATAAAACAATAGGTATCAATTTCTGTTTCAAAAGAAATAAAATAGGCATAAAGCCTGTGTGGTGTGTGTGTGTGTGTGTGTGTGTGTGTGTGTGTGTGTAGAGAGAGAGAGAGCAAACTATGAATAGAAAAAAATAATGAATGCTGTTTAGGATACGGAGTATCTTTACTTGACAAGATACTTCTCTGTAAATTTGCTTTTTAATTTTATGCATAGATTCCAAGATTTGATGTGCTCTGATGAGTTTATGTTTATAAAGTGTAATTTGAATAGCGAGAATTTGCATCTTTCTCTTCCTTTTCAGAGGTTTTGTTTAGATTGTTGGAGGCAATATGCTGATTCTGTAACCGGTTTAGGCAGGGCTGTAAAGCACTGTGAAGCAGTATATAAGTCTAAGTGCTATTGCTATTTGCCTGCTTGATAGGGCAAAGAATGTATTTAGATGAATTCCAAAATGTTTATCAGTTGTCTTCACTTATGTGCACATAGCAAAGAATACATTAAAGATTTGGATTCATGGTTCCTTCTACCCATCCCCAGGCTTGTTCCATGCTTTCTTTTAAATTTTTCCCATAGCAGACATTCCTCATATATTAAAAAAATTGAGTCTTTAAGTTTTCCAACATCAGAATCACTTCACTACTACTTGATCCTCTGCGTCGGGGTTTCAAACTCGCTTTGGCACAGCAGTGTCACGTTAAATATTGGGACTTTTCCCGCCTTTGCTAAACTGGCACGGACATGGGCTTGGCCAGCGTGTGACGCATCTGGATTCCGGCACATGGGCCGCGAGTTCGACAGCCCTACTCTATGTGAATTTAAACGGACAATTCAATTAATCCTATGGAGATTAATCCTTTTAAAAGCCACAGGATTCTCGTTTTAAAGTTTATTGTGATTTTTAAATGTCAAGATACTTTGCTTTAAATGCCATGGACTTAAACCTTATTTTCTTGTTCATTTGCATCTTCAAACTAAAGAACCTACAGCCATTGCAATCTTTTGTCTGGACCTCATATTAAGCTTCATTTAGACTTCTGTGTCACTGCATGCAGGGAACATATGTGTCTGTCATTTGGAGACAGTTGTGTAGCTGTTGTGATGATATTTCTGCAAATGTTAACATTCTGGTTAGGCAGCACTCAAACAACAATGTGCCTTGCCTTCCACCTACCTCCCAACAATATATATCAAATATATAGATATATATTTGTGTGCGTGGGTGGATGGGGGACAGTGTTTGCTTGTAAATGTGCAGTAAAGGCCTATCTCATATGATTGCTGTTATTTGTCAGGTTTTTTATGAGCTATCAGATTGAAACATCAAGCACTTTTCTGAGGTAAAAATGAATAAAGGAATTGGAACAATTGGATAGAACAGTCTACTTGTTATAAACCGTATGGTTAAAATAACTTTTGATACAGAAACTCTGCAAAATGCTACAGGTGATTGCACAATTCCTTTTCATTAATTAATGCAGTAATAATGAAGTGAAAATATTTCACTTCTGAACTCATTTATTATGGTATAATAGGACTTGCTTATGAGTAAATATTGGGCTCGCATTGGATCTGAACCTTCCAACCTAAACTGGGTGAATCCCTAAAGCTATACTTGAATTTCTGCTGGTTCATACCAGCTAATGTGTGAAGGTTAGATGCTGTCACTACTCCTCTTTTGCTTTCATTTCTTTTTTTGCCCAAGGAATACAGGTAGTCCTTGACTTACGATCACAATTGAGCCCAACATTTCTGTTTCTAAGTGAGACAGTAGTTAAGTGACTTTTGCCCCACTTTACGACTTTTTTGTCGTAAAGTGCCCCTCTTCTTAAGTGAATCACAGCAGTTGTTAAGTTAGTATCATGGTTGTTAAATGAATCTAGCTTCCCCATTGACTTTACTTGTCAGAAGGTTGCAAAAGGGGATTACATGATCCTGGGACACTGCAACTGTCATAAATAAACTGTCATCAAGGAACTGAATGACTACAGACCAGTTGCTCTAACAACTGTAGTCATGAAAACCTTTGAAAGGCTAGTGCTGCCCACTTGAAAACCATCACGGATCCGCTGTTAGACCCCTTGCAATTTGCATACCGAGCAAATAGATCAACAGATGATGCTGTTAATATGGCTCTGCACTACATCCTACAACATCTTGAATCTCCAAAGACCTACGCAAGGGTCCTCTTTGTAAACTTTAGTTCAGCATTCAATACCAACATTCCAGACACTCTTCTAACTAAGCTAAACCAGCTACTGGTACCTGAACACACTTGTAAGTGGATCATAAGCTTCCTAACAAACAGGAAGCAGCAGGTGAAGCTAAGCAGAATCACATCAGATACTTGTACAATTAGCACAGGGCCCCCCCAAGGCTGTGTACTCTCCCCACTTCTCTCTGTATACCAATGACTGCATCTCTAACAATCCATCTGTTAAACTACTGAAGTTCGCAGATGACACAACAGTGATCGGTCTCATTCAAGACAATGATGAATCCACATACAGATGGGAGGTTGAACAACTAGCCTCATGGTACGACCGGAACAATCTGGAACTGCACACGCTCAAAACCATAGAAATGGTGGTAGACTTTAGGAGAAACCCATTCCATACTTCCACGTCTCACAATACTAGACAACACAGTATCAACAGTAGAGACCTTCAAATTTCTAGGTTCTACCATATCGCAAGATATAAAATGGACAGCTAACATCAAAAACGTCATCAAAAAAGCACAACAAAGAATTTCTTTCTGTGCCAACTCAGAAAGCTCAAACTGCCCAAGGAGCTGCTGATACAGTTCTACAGAGGAATTATTGAGTCTGTCATCTGCACCTCTATAACTGTCTGGTTTGGTTCTGCAACCCAACAAGACAGACACAGACTTCAGAGGATAATTAGAACTGCAGAAAAAACAATTGCTACCAGCCTGCCTTCCATTGAGGACCTGTATACTGCACAAGTCAAAAAGAGGGCTGTGAAAATATTTACAGACCCCTCACATCCTGGACATAAACTGTTTCAACTCCTACCCTCAAAATGACGCTATAGAGCACTGCACACCAGAACAATTAGAGACAAGAACAGTTTTTTCCCGAACGCCATCACTCTGCTAAACAAATAATTCCCACAACACTGTCATTTACTAAGTCTGCACTACTATTATTCTTCTCATCATTCCCATCATCCATCTCCTCCCACTTATGTCTGTATGACTGTAACCTTGTTGCTGGTATCCTTATGATTTATGTTGATATTGTTTCCTGAGTTCTTATTTGTACCCTATGACTATCATTAAGTGTTGTACCTTATGATTCTTGATGAACACATCTTTTATTTTATGTACACTGAGAGCATATGCACCAAGACAAATTCCTTGTGTGTCCAATCACACTTGGCCAATTAAAATTCTATTCTATTCTATTTTAAATATGAGCTAGCTGATCACATGCCCAAGGGGATGCTGGAAAAGTTGTGTGAAAAACAGTCATAAATCACTTTATTCAATGTCATTAAAACTTTGAATGGTCACTAAATGAATTGTTGTAAGATGAGGATTGTTTGTAATAAGTTTTTAATCTTATAAACTCATTTCTAACCTGTCCCACTTAGTGAACCATTAGTACCTGAAGACTAGGATTAGATTACTCTGCCATCTCAAAGAGCAGGTTTTCAATCATGGATCTTCCTTTCTGATCACAGGAGGAGAACCCATGATGTCTTATGACCTTTCCTTGCATTTTACAATGGTTTCCCTGAGCTTAATACAGAAAGAATGCATTGGAAATAATTTGATATATAAATCGGTGGTGTCCCATTATTGCAAAAGTTGTATTATCTTTGCTGATAAACCTATAGGGATATAAACCTATAGGGACAAATGACAACTAATCTAGTAACCCTGTGCACAACTTTTGTCCCTCAAGGTGTAGAAGGAAACCTTCAGGCTTGGAAGAAGATTGGCATTCTGATGTCACTTTTGTGGATTCTTCAGCAGCTCTTATCTTCTCAACAACAATGGTTTGATACTGGAAAGAATGGAAAAGGGTGGTTTAGAGGGGACTGGTTACCAATATCAAATGATTGTTGTTGAGAAGATAAGACCTGCTGAAGAGTCCACCAAAGAGACATCTGAAGGCCAAACTTCTTCCAAGGTTGAAGGTTTCTTTCTATAGTTTGAGGAAGGAATAAATATATGCACAGGGTTATTGGATTACTATGAAGATGATGTTTTGAATCTACAAGCCAGTTTCTACTTTTCTTTAGCCCTGAAGCTAATCAGATTAGTTCTAATCAGTTCCAGAGCTGATATTGCTATCAGATTGATGACTGGTTAATCTTTATTTATCTAGATGTTTCTTAATATTATGCTGAATTATGTTTAAACCTTTCTGCTATGAGGCTTTGGGTTATTCATATGAAAAGTTGCTTTACAATTTTAACACATTTTGGCACTTTTTAGGCCTTGTTACCACCCTGATATTTTAGAATGAAGAGCAGATTTTAAATACTTTTGATATTCAAGGCATCCACAGGTTGGTATCTATACCAGAACTAGAGAAAAGAGTAGGTGTGTAGCATGCATATTGTTGTCATTGTAGAGAACAAAATTAGTATTCTATTATTTTAAAATCTGCGTGAAGTACAACAATCCTGAAATTCCAGATAGCCTATGCTCCTACCCCTGCTTCACAAGGAAGCATTGAATATGTCAGTGTTTCTCAGGGCAGAACCACACATTCTGCTTGGCCCATCATCAACATGGGCCACTCACTGAACAGGAAGAGACGACGTCATCCACCCTAAATTACTGAACACGAATGAGGAACAAACACAGGGATAGTAGGCAGTATGTAAAGAACTTCCTTTACCTAGCTCTCATCATTTGCCCTGTGTTTAAAATACTCCTAAGGTTCAAAGAGACAATGAGTCTCCAGCATTGTTTCGCAACAATCATCTAGAACAGGTTGAACGTGTCCAACCTGCAGCCTACAGGCGACGTGCGGCTCTGGAGAGCTAGAATGCAGCCCCATAAGATTGTCAAAAATATTTAAAAATAAAAGAAGTTTGTTATTTATACACATTAACTATATTATATTATTTTATATGCAGCTCAGGACAATTCCTCTTCACTCAATGTGTGCTGGGCAAGCGAAAAAATTGGATAACCATGATCTAGAGTCTGGAAATATGTAGAATACATAGAATGGTAATAATTTCAGGTCCTGCAAATCTCAAATTTGCACAGCATTTTCAACGTTGCCACATACTATTCGTGCTCATTGCACTGCAACAGATATGCATTCAATTATTTCAGGTTTCTAAGTGGCCTGTGATATCATTTTTTAAAAAGAAAAATATGTCACTTTATTTTGTTTTAAATTTACCTGTAATGTCCAAGTATTTGAAAATATGCATAGTTTTCCAGGAACAGATTGGATAAAGCTCACCTGATCAGAGGTGGTGATAAGATGATATTTTTAACTATATAATACATGAAATATTCTTATTTTGTGAATGTTGCCATA